AATAATAATAATAACAATAATAATAACAATAATAATAACAATAATAATAATAATAACAATAACAATAACAATAATAACAATAATAACAATAACAATAATAACAATAACAATAATAACAATAATAATAATAATAACAATAATAATAATAACAATAATAATAATAACAATAATAATAATAACAACAACAACAATAATAATAATAATAATAATAAGATTCTCATGATTTTGAGATTCCTGAGAATTTGAATAACACCATGTTGGGTGTGGTATTCAAATTACCTTAAAATGAGGGAAAGTGAATCGCATGGTAATCACTTTCCTGAAAATTTAAAAATTATAATTCTTGTACCAAATATGGTAATATTACAGATTCTCATTCTCATCCTTAAGATTAACGCATACCAAACGCCCCCTAAGGTTAGGTTTCATACTTGATAGATCCAAATAGAGATCTTATTCGGTCAATGAGTTATGCAGCGCCAAACCATGACGATGTGAGTGAAATTAGATCATTTTTTAAATAAATGATAAGAATGAGGGGTGAAATGACGCTAAAATATATATTTTTTTAGGACTCGTTTAGTTCGTTGATTCGAGTTTTTAATTTGAATTGAGATGTGACTTTATGTGAGAGTTTTTTTACTGTAATAAAAAAATTAGATGTGACTGTTTCCAAGAGTTTTTTACTATAGCAAAACTCAAATTTTAAACTCGAATCGGTGAAATAAATAAAGTTTTAGTTTACAAAAAATGATACTCGTGTAAAGATATTTGTTTTCTTATTCTTTTAGTAAAATAATGTTAAAGGACACATATTTATGTTTCAATGCTATATTTGGTAACGTCACCTTTCCTTCTAAAAATTTATTATTAGTTTACTTTTCTTTTTGAAACTTTAACTATACCAATATTAAATTGTATACCAATATTTAACAAAAATTCAATGCTTCAAAACTTCCAGAAAGAAAAAATCATCCACCATCCAAGGTTATTTATTCCAATCCTATCTCAAAATCATGACCTACAGTCCTACACAGCAGAGATAACTACTTTTTTTTTAATCAACTTCATAAATGCGAATTATAGGAATATATTTCAAGGCTTTTTTTGTCCCTCACCATTTTTATGGAAAAATTTCTTCCATCATAAAAGGTTTTAAGCATATGGCAAATAAAATACTATCATGTACTGCTCCAAACAAAAATTCATACATGATCAGATGTGCCTATCAGAAAAAGAAAATAACAAATGTAATTCTTCATGATAATATTATTCGGATTTAAAACAACAATCGGTTACTATGAAATGACTGATATTAACATAAAAAATGACAGTCATTATTAATGTGCCTTTTAATATTTTTCATATAGTTATTCATGACATGTGTACATGATAGTCGTTTATTACTATATGTTTAAAAATGACTTCTGATTTTTAGAATAATAACTGTTACGACTCAATAAAAGAGAATTATGCTTAATTTTAAGCCGATTACGATAAGTATATAGGTCTGTTACGATAGTACAAGTGGAACCCATTTTGAAATTGGGGAACTATAGACAACTCCATATTTTAATGAAGGAAAATATAGTAAGTTGCATTTCTTAACTTATTTTTCTTTAGGAAGTATTTCATGCCCCCCTCTTTTTTTTTTTTTTTTGGCTTTTTTTAACTTTTTTTTTTTTTAGGGAAGCATCTCAAAACCTTTTGTTTCCTTTTTTCTGAAAAGTTTTTTTAACTTATAATCGTATTATCGTACAGAGACATCTTAAACCTAGTCATTATTTCATTTTTTTGATCTGATATTCAATTTAGAGCGGCAATATTCTTCAAAACCTGTATAAGTGGAGGACTGGAGGGTGTGGAAACAATTATATTACAGGTAGTGTTAAATACATCAAAATTCTATGTCATCAATTGCAAGTCGTACTTAGAATTCATCAAAATGAATGAATGGCTTCAATGATGAAGACACAAAAACTTTTAACTCTATAAAGCAGGTCATCACTGATCGGTATATGCACGGTGTAATTAAGTTCGAATGATAGTTTTCTTTTCCTCATAAAAGGATGAACCTTTTTTTGTTTTTTGTTTTTTTGTTTTTTTTTTTTTTTGTTTTGTTTTAGTAAACCTTTTATAAGAGAGAAACTTCTACACATTATCTATTCTTTTTAAGGTAATTTGTACAAATAATCCTCAATTTTTTTAAAAAGTGACAGTATAGTTCACAATCTTTTTTTAATAAAACGACCCCCAACATCTTTAAAAGATAACAATTTTATCATTTTCGTTAAAATTTTAACATAACATATCACGTGACCCCTTTTAATAAAATGACTTAAATACCCTCAAAAAAATTATCCCTTTCTCCCAAGTTTTGATCAAGCGATCATTTTCTCAGATTGTAGGACTGTTCCTGCTGTAATCGGCTTGTCAATTGAGGGCTTTGGAGCAATAGTTGTTTTCTGAGGAGGAGGAGAAGCCTCCACTTGGTTCTGAGTAGCAGGAGCACACAGATTCTCATCGAATATTTTTATATGTCCGTAAGATTTGCATATTCTTTTTTTTTTTTAAAGGAAAAGGATTTGCATAAGATTCAAAAAGAGTTACAGGCATTGGAAAAGGAAAATACAGAAATCGAAATCAGAATACCCGGCTAAGAAAAGCGATATGCTTGCGTTATTGAAAAGAAAGAAAATGTGATAATGAGAAAAATGGATATGAAATCTAAATCCTAAAGAAAATGAGTGAAT